CAATAGAGTCAAGAACTTATACAAAAGACTATGACATCGAAACAGAGTCAATAACAAAGAATTCATGATATTCAACAACCGAAAAATAAGTTAAACAAATAACATGACAGATACGTTTTGATGTCGACTTAATAATTTGATAAAGGGCACAAGTATATCATTGACCAAGTGACCATGGCTCCAGGAACATTGCTTGGCATAAAATACCAAAGACAGCTTTAAAATACACATTATTGACATCGAAACAGAGTCAATAACAAAGAATTCATGATATTCAACAATCGAAAAATAAGTTAAAAGAATAACATGACAGATACGATTTGATGTCGACTAAATAATTTGATAAAGGGCACAAGTATATCATTGACCAAGTGACCATGGCTCCAGGAACATTGCTTGGCATAAAATACCAAAGACAGCTTTAAAATACACATTATATGTACATTCTTATCCCACAATGGAAGTCCTCACCATGAAACCAAGTCATGTCCCAAAGGAAACACCAGACCCTTCTTAGGGTTCATCTTTAAGTGAAAACGGTAATGGGTACCCACGTTCAAACTATTTCCAACATCAACCAGAAGGTATGATCCGCAAGTCAAGATCAACAGATTGGGTTAAACTAAACAATGGCGAAGCCATCTGACACAAATGCGGAAAATAATGGCACTACAGCACTCTGATGACTGGCTTGTTCAGAAAAGAGACTGTATGTTTATGTTTTTGGTACACATCATCTAGCACTTGAATGTGTATTGTGCACCTTTATAAGACTTCTAAAGAATCAGTTGCAAACACACATATTGGTAACAAAACAGTTTTACAAAATTACAAATTGGTACTAAACGTCAGTCCTGCTTCCTCTGACATGATTGTTACTAGAAATAGTTCCAAAGAGCTCACCTGCACATAATGTACACCATTTATTTTAGTTGGTGTACTAACTAACTCGATTATAGAATTGCCTTTGGATTTCCTGAAATCTGGAAATTTGGAAGAGCTATTTGCGGATTCTAGAAACTTCCAAGTCCCTGAAATCAGACCAAACAAAGTACACATATGTGACAATGCAAAACACTTGGACTTAACTATGTAACGATAATGAATGCGTGAAATAGTATCACAAGAAATTGAAATCCAGTTTATCAACTTCATATAAAAGACATATAACTGTACCAACCCGATAACTGCATTAAAAATCTCTAATTTACTAACCTCTATAAGTTCCTGTTATATTCCATGCAGAAAATGGACCCAAGTCACTTTCATCTTTTCTTATGAATAACCACTGCATGAAAAAAAATAGATGAATTTAGTAGGTTCACAGTAACTCAAACTTTTATTCATATTTTCAATCATGTACAGGTCTCGGATCTACATTTATTTGACAAATAGAGATTCTGATAAAATAACAGTTTTCGATCTTCTTTTAACTTTTGTACCGAAACTACTTCATAAGAAAATTTCGGTGTGCAAATATCCATGACTTCCGTTGCTACTTAGTCAACATATCAACAATGCCAAAATTTGTGAAGCCGTCTCAGAAAAATAAGTAAATGAAATTACCCTGCTAAATATGCATGAACCAACATCAACATACATATATCTTACTCAAATATAAGCAAGTGAAAACTTCTAAAAGAATAAAATAAAAATAAAAAATCCATGGATTCCACATAGGTCCAGTTGCAACATCATGCTTTTTATGTTCTAACTCAGTTTCCTTCCAAATTTTTTACAACCGTTTCAGTTCTGCACAGTGGACACTGGTAAAGCTGCGTGCAGAACTACATGACGCGTGCCCAATGCTAGCAATTGCCAACAACAGCTTTAGGCATTCATTTTTAACTGCTAACCATTTCTAAATTTTGACATGGAATTATTCTCTACCTTCAGTATCCTACAACCAATTAATTAACTTAAAACACAGAGCAGAAACTCCATCAGAAAGCATACAAAACTCCCTTCAGTACAACCTCATGAAAATGAAGTGCATAGAGCTACTAAGCTACCTCTCTAAGCTCCCCACTCTAGGAAATCATCTACATTCCTCATTGTTCTTTACCACAAACACCATTCTCACTAACATAACAAAATGATATACTTTCTTTGCAAATGTAAACTATGCACCATTCTCACTAACATAATTCAAAGTCACAATCTTTATATGCAAAATCATAATAACTGATCAAGTAATCAATCAAGAAACGACAATAAATAAATAAATAAATTCAACACCAACCTCATCGCCCCACGAGCGAGCCCTCTCTCTCAAGGGTCTGAGACCCACCACCGGCTGTAGAATCAGCGAACCAATACACAATCCAACGAAAACCCACTTCAAAAAACCTAATCTCCTCCTCCCATGGCGGCACAGAAAATCCGAATTCCTCTCCGACACCATATCGAAATCCGGGCATCCCATGTCCCAAAAACTAAAAACAAAAAAAAAAAAATCAACCCCAGAAGAGTTTGACCGGTGAGCTCAGTCGTTTCAATCGAAAGCGAAGAAGCCAAGAGGAGGGAGAAAAACCCATTAGAGCAGAGACAGCTTAAGGCTTAAGAGAGAGAGAAAAGGGGTTGCTTGAATTAGAGTCAACATTTGGAAGGAAGAAAACTACCCAATTGATCTGAATGAGAAAAGGAAAGGCCAGCGACTAATTGACCACTTAAGCAACAACAAAACACAACAACAACAAAATACAGCAACAACAACAATAAGAAAGATTTATATACTTAGAATTTCACCAACTAACTATTATATCTAATTGATTTGTATTGATTTAAACTATTGTAAAGACACTAGACATAACATAAAAATGAAGAAGGAGCAAAAAATAAAATGTGTTTTTGTTGCGGTTGTTGATAAAATAATAAGTTTGGGATTAATTAAAAAAGGGTATGATTGGAGAGTTGAAGAGCGATGGAGAAGTGGTGGTGATGATGTTCGTGGAGGAAGGTTGACATGTCTGAATGAAGGCCGCCTTTGGCTTCGTGCTTTGTCTCCTCTCCTCTCCTCTCCTCTTCTCTTCTCTTTGGTAAAATCAAAGTCAGAGAGAGAGAGAGAAGGTTCTGTGTTTGGTGGGGGTGGAGGCACGCGCTGTAAAAGAGGTCGATATCACGCTCCTATCACGAGCGGGAACATAAACGACATGTCGTGTTGGATAAAATAAACTACATGTCGTTTTTTATTTTCTTAACACAACATATTTATGGGCTGTAAACGACATGTCGTAACGGTTTTGATGCTTTTGTTTCCGCAGTCTACTTTTACTAGCTTTACGGGTTACGACATATCGTCTCACACTGAACTTTACTTTTCAAGAATCTTATATGAAAAAGTTATTCTCCTAATTATGACTTTGTTATCTTTCAAGTAGCACAAAATAATAAATATCATTTTGTCAATATTCTATATTTTCTTATCTTTTTAGCGAGGAAAAAAAAGTTATTTTTATTATCGTTTATGTACTTCAGCAGCAGCAGACTATTTGAATCAAATATTTTGATCATTTACAACAACCAACGTGTCGTTTCCAAGGTAATATATTTGTTGTCGTTGTTTACTTGTGCAGAGAGAAGACGGGAACTGCAAGTCGCTTACTTATAGGAACGACATCAACCTTATAACTAGCAAACATGTCGCTTACGCTAAGGGACTACCCCTCCAAGAAAACCTTGTCTTTAGCAAAACGAAAAAAATAAAATCAAGAAACCTGATTTCATTTTTCCAGCTGACTTTTGCTATAAGAAAACTATCTCTCGGGTCGGGTCTCGTAGGAAATATTACTTATTAGTACCCCCCACACCACAACACACACTTTATACCAAAGAGATGAATCTCCAATGTTTGGTTCATAGATTTAAGTTAGTAATCTTGATTATAAATTCAAATTTTGTGAGAAAATGTATACTTTTTTAATTCAAATTTTTGTGAAATAGTAGAATTAGAATCATAGGTTCTAAGTGACCTAAAAAAAAATCATGGCTCAAATAAGTGAACTAAATATATAAAATAATTGTCGTTTTCCTCTTATCACTTACAACAACAGAAATAATACTAGAAACGACATGGGAGTGATGGTTAAAGTGATTGCCTGTTAACGAGAATTGGTAATTCAGTACGTCATTTCATTTTCAAACGACAACAAACTTTCGACAGGGTCGGGGAACCACATATAGGGGGCGTTTGGTATGCAATAATCTTAAGGATGAGAATGAGAATCTGCAATATTACCATGTTTGGTACAAAAATTATAATTTTTAGATTCCCAAGAAAGTGATTACCATGGGATTCACTTTCCCTCATTTTGAGGTAATTTGAATACCACCCAACATGGTGTTATTCAAATTCCCAAGAATCTCAAAATTATGGGAATCTTATTATTATTATTATTATTATTATTATTGTTATTGTTATTGTTATTATTATTATTATTGTTATTATTATTGTTATTATTATTGTTATTATTATTGTTATTATTATTATTGTTATTATTATTATTATTAATGTTATTGTTATTATTATTATTAGTTTTATTATTATTATTATATTTAATAATAATAATATTTTTATTTTTATTTTTATTTTTATTTTTATTAATAATAATATTATATTATTATTTTTATTATTATGGATCTTCTTTCATACGAACTACCAAACATAATAATGTAATATTTTTGAGAATTTGAAAATGATTCCTAGATGGAACCAAACATAGTAATGTATTATTTCTAAGAATCATATTACCCTATCACTTTCTTAAGAATATGATTCCTATTGATTTCTGCATACCAAACGCTCCATAAAGGGTTTTTTTTTTTTTAACCGCGGAGATATTTGAACTCTTTCACTTGACCATGAAAAGTTCAAAAATAGCAAAATAGATTCATCTTTCCTCAAAAACGACAGCAAACTTTCGACAGAAAACGACGTAACAGCGGTAGTAACTTCTCCTTTTATTTCCCTTCCAAAACCGACTGGCCAGTCGTCACTCTCTCTCTCTCTCTCTTTGCCGATCAAAAAATGGAAGGAAAACAGGGCGTGAAGGGCACAGTGACGGCGTTGTCGTCGCTGTACCCGACAGAAGAGGCCCAGAAGGCGGCGAAGCGCGTGCAGGACACGATCGCCGAAAAGCAGCAGGAGTTGGAGCGCCTCCATGGCTTCATCTCCGACAACACCAACCTCATCAACCTCGTCCAGAGACTCCCCGACAACCTCCACCACGACATCATGGTAATCGCCCCCCCCCCCCCCCCCAAAAGAAAAAAAAACCCGAAAAAAAAATGGAACTGAATTTGATTCTGTCGTCGTTTGTTTGGGCTGTTTCTAGGTTCCGTTCGGGAAGGCGGCGTTTTTTCCCGGGCGTTTGGTACACACCAATGAGTTTCTGGTATGTTAGAGAGATGATTTTCTCAGCCGCCAAACAGTGCCACTAGCTTTTGAGTTATGCCAATGTTGTGATTCCGTTGCAGGTTCTGTTGGGAGAAGGTTACTATGCGGAAACGACGTCGAAAAAGGCGGCGGAGATTCTGAAAAGAAGAGGGAAGGCTTTGGAAACCCAAGTCGATTCCTTGAACGCCATGATGCAGGACCTCAAAGCTGAGGCTTCGTTTTTCCATACAACCGCTTTCGAAGCCGCGGTGGGTTCCGAAAATTTTGTGATTTGGGTGTTTTCTAGTGTTAATTGCCATTGTAGATTCATAGTCGAAATGCGATTTGCGAAATGATGTGCTTATTGTTTTTGCTTGACATGTGCGTAGGAGGGCATTGTGGAGATAAGAGAGGATTATGAGGATGAAACTTCCGTCAAAAGCGAATCCGAACCGGGTTGGTTATTTTCTTTCTGACTTGGTATTGTAAATGTGGACTGATATCAGATAGAATCAGGTTTGATTTTTGTTTGTTTTGTGTTGTGTTGATCTTGAAGTATATTGTTGGGTCCATTCCTTATTAGCTGAAACATTTAGGACAATTGGTAGCTTGACATTGTAACAGAACATATCAATTTGAAGTGTTTTATGGGTTCATTGATCAGGGCTTAACGGCTGAAGAACTTTATAAGTTTCCGAAAATTGAAGATAACACAGGTCAAGAAAATGAATTTCAATTGTTTGTGGAAACATATAAATTGGTACAACCGATGATAAAAGAAAGAGATGTTGAATTCTTTGAGAAAGATTTGATCTGGTTTGATTCCTATTAGAAGTAGAAGGCACCCGGTGGGATTCTCATGCGCAGACAGAAAAATTTCCAACTTGTATCAATCAATCGAATTTGTTGAACAAGTAGTATTAACCATACAAATTAGAATATTCCAATGCGTGTATACATAATGTATGGTGTATGATCGTGTTTGCAAAAATATAAGAAATAGAAGTATCTTTGTTCTTTACCATGACTCGATTGGGAAGTAGATTGAATACTTCTATTGGTGCTTTTTTCTTTACAATAAACCCATTTTTTTCTCTGTAGAAGTATTGGAGACATATTTTGTGACCAGACCAATTCTTCGATCTTTTTTCTTTTGGTTTTGCATGCATAAATTTATTTTAATTAGTGTGTTGGAACTTTTCTTTTTGTTTGGATTTGTCAGTTTATTTTTTACCCTAAACCAAGTTCATGTTGGGCCCATTGATGCTATATTTCAGGACTGCTTAAGCAAGTTTCTTCTAGTTTTTCTGAAGCAGACAACAAAAGGGTTGCGGTTGAAGATAAAGAGTTTGCTCGTATTATGTCCAGGATGGATGAACTTGAGAAAGAAGAACTAGAAGCTGACGGCAACGATGAGAGTGATGAAGATGAGCCAAGTAAAGCTGATATGGATAGCATCGCGGAAAAACTATCAAATCAGGAGATAAGAAATGCAGAGGTAACATCTAAAACTCTTGGCTTGAGAAATTGAGTAATGGAGCTCAAATGCATTGACTTTTTTCTTTTTTTTTTTAATTACTTGCTCACTTTTCTTGGTCAAATAGAGGCCAGAGTCAAGGAAACCTCTGGAGCAGGCAAAGAATAAAAATGTGGCTACTGAAGAAATTAGAAATGCACAGCACCATGCTCATCAAGATATTGCTGATCAGTTAAATGTAAATAATTTATGTTCCTTGTTTGTCTTTTATTGATTATCAGGACGCTAGATATGATATAATACTAATATTGTTCCTGTACTTTTTACTATCAGTGTACAGGTTTGACAGTGCAGTCCATACCCAAAGGTTATTCCTTTACCCAATGTTACATTGATCCGGGTTTGGATTTCGTTGGCATATGTGCCAAAGTGAATTTTTGTTTGTTTACTAAAGTTTCTCAAATATTTGGGGTGCCCATTTTAGAAGATGATTCGAACTTTAGGTGAAGGCTATCACTATTTCTTTTTGAATCCTCAAGTATTTTTACGTCATTGGTTATTTGAACAATTTCCTATTGTCTGTTCTATTGATCGCAAGATAGTAATGTAATATCTTACTTATCCTTTTGAGAAAGTAGAATGTATTGTATGTGGGCATTCCTAGAAAACAAAGAAGAAAACATTAGTGCAAGTCTGAACTTGTTTTATCTGCTCTCTCATTTTTGCATATCTTAGGTGGCATATCAAATGACTATACTTTGGCTAGTGATGTGAAAAAGCCTGCAGAGAAGACTGTGATGCCTCCAAAAGCGGAAAACAAGGTTCGAGCATTTACTTCTCCACAAAGTGAGGTATTTCAGCCTTATTTCTAGCCATCATTCTCGCTATTGTACTTTCAGATGTTAAGAGTCCTATACTGCCTTTCATGCCTGAATAGAAGAAAAATGATTAATTAGATTTGAAAGTCATTATCTTGTTCGTAGAGGTGACACGCCAAGCCTTGATTACGAGGCAGCATAAAATTTCTTTTTACTCGGTCACTGAACTTGTTAAGATGTCAGATTGTGTTTTGAAATGCTTTCGTGCCCTAATTGCATGATGGGCCTGTATGTTCATCATTAGTGTTATATTTTCTCTCATCTTTGGTATGACGTGCATTGAAATGCGTTCTTTGACCATTTTTTAGTAGAAGAATGTTCTTTTTACCCCTCAAATGTTTCTGATGGTTGAGAGAGTTTAGAAGTACGATTTTACAACTTTACATGCTATCATTTTTTAGCCATATTACTGTACCATCAAGTTTTTGTTTTACAGGTTCCTCTGGAGACTCCAAAGCCAAATTTTGATAGTAAACTAGTAAGTTTCATTAACACTTTAAGCGTCATTTGCGAGAAATAAACGTAAACTGTAGAATCCATATTTGTGAACCTTTTGCGGATGCTCTCACGGTACCTGTTCTTCATCGTATTTTTCTTTCTTTTTTTTTTTTGGTGCTAAAATCTGTTCTTCCTCTCATGCAGGCTTTTACAGGGTCCATTGTTGAGCACGCTGACAATATAGAAACAAGTTCAAGAAAACAGACTCCATCTCAGGTAATTCGTGTGTAAAAAATAGTCAAAATGCAGTGTTTATATTGTCGCTGATGTGAAATAGTGAAAGATGGGTTTTGGCTGTTGCAGTCATCTGGCTCTCAACCTTCAAAGCCAGTGTCAAGATTCAAGATGCATAGAAGATAGTTAGCGCTACAAAAAGTGGAAGGAGAAATGAGAAGGATACAACGAGCAGCTGCTAATACAACTCAAGATACTGATCTGCCTTGGTCGATAAAGGCTGGTCTGAAATTCCAGTTAAAAGTTTTGAAGAAGTTGGTGGAAGGGTGAACCAAAAAATCTCCCAAGTTTTGTGTAAAGCAGATCTTTGTTTAGCTTAAAAATTAGGGGTGGCAATTCGTGTCACGTGTTGTGTTCGTGTCGTGTTTTGATCATTTTTTTAAAATTTACAGTCAACCCGAATACGACCCGTGACACGAAATTTTTTAAAACCCGCAACACGAACACGACACGACCACTTTACGAGTTGACACGACACGACTTGAAAATGATTCGTGACACGAAATTGACCCGTGAATCCGAAATTGACATGAAAATTATATACTTTTATTTAGTTTTTTACATATTAGAAATAACTTAAAATCATAACACACTAAATTACAATAACATCCATTGAAATTAAGCAAATAATAGTATAAGATTTTGAGTATAACTATCATGATATTACAAGTTCATAATAAAATTTAAAATATGTATTGAAAAATATATGTTTTTTTTAATTTTTTATGAGTTTTGTGTCGTGTTCGGGTTAGGTGGATTCAACCAGAAATTGACCTGTATTTTTCGTGTCAATTTCAGGTCGACCCAATTCTAATCCAAACTTTTTTTTTTCAACTTTAAACCGCAAAATTCGTGTCGTTTTCAAATCGTGTCGTGACTCATATTGTCAGTCTTATTAAAAACATTGATTATTTATTAATACGTGAAAACTAGGTTTAGTTCCTGAGATGCCCATATGATTGATTGATTTTATATCAAATTTCAATTCCAATGTAATTGGAATTAACGGCTCAATGTGAGATATAGAAGCCAGCGTTTCTCAACTTCTTTTCAACAATAAAATTTATTAAGTGTGTCAATAGACTCATTCCTAAGGAAATTCTGATCTGTTCAATTTTTCTTTGAACTATTTTTGACTTCTGGCATATAATTCTCCGAAAGGTAGAAATTTCGACTAATATAAAACAGCTATACAACAATATGTACAAGTAGAGTTAAAGATAATGTTCTAAAAACCCGTCATTCGTTGGGTATCTCCTTCGTCTATTGTAGTCTCTAAGCACTTTCTCCCTCTCTGAGGGAGTCGCAGATAATAGCCACTTACTAAAATCAACCTCTCCCATGCCCACAGATTGAGCAAGGAGGCTATATTGAATTCTTTTCCTGCCCATGGAAAAAGAGGTAGAAGAAACATTTTCTTTCCCATCTCTGTCTTCTGGTTTCTTTCTCCGAACGACGGGCATGGAATGTTTCGGACCATCATTCAGAGGGACAGCCTCCTCCAGCTTCCCTTGTGTTCCAGGACCGAAGTTCACAATATCCTCGTTGCGATGAGCATACACAATACCTGAAAGTAAAAGTTGAAAATTTCAGCTATTCTATCAACCTAAGGGCAATTGATGCAGTTGCTAAAACCTTTGGCTTCTTAGCAGTGCCTTATTCTTCAAGGAAAATGGCACACGTCATAAAAAAAAAAAATAAAAAAACAGTTTTATGACACATCATGGAGTGAAATAGTTGAGATAAAAAATCATTGTTGCCGATAACAGAGAATCTTGTCACGTATGTATTCATGACATTTGTAATAAATTTTCCATGATGTGTATCATTTGATCCATGTAAAACAAACGTTTAAAAATGTGACAAGTGCCCTAAAATTTCTCCGACTTACCAAGATCTTCAAGCGTTGGGTTACTTGAAGTTTTTTTGGAGTCATTTTCAGATTCTGGTGACGGCACTGGATTGGCTTCTTCTGGAGGAGCGGAACTGTTTCCAAGTTCGGTTAATTCTTGTTTTCTGCTGGGGGGATCCTTGTCTTGTTGTCCTTGCTTTTCATTCAATTCAACGATTTCACTCGTAAAGAGCTTATCAGAAAGATCACGGAACAAATTACAAATCCCAAAAAGTTCTCCTTGAAATTCTTTGCAATCCTGAAAGAAACCAACAGAATGTGTGGAAGACATTTAACGTTTAAACACAAAAGCCAACAGATCTATTTCTCTACCTGAACACCTTCAAAATATCTGTTTTCCATTTTTCCAGAAACAGCAATGTTTGCTAGCTGCTGCTTGTACACCTGACGTGAGTATACAAGTTCCTCCAGTGAACCAGCAGCGATAAGGCGGAAAACCACCACATGACGCTTCTGCCCGAAACGAAATGATCGGTCCTGAGCCTGCAAGTCTTGAGCAGGATTCCAGTTTGGATCAAATATCACAACACGATTTGCACTAACAAGATTCAGTCCAAGCCCACCAGCTCGAGTTGATATCAGGAAAACCTAAAAGGATACGCAAGCTATCATTTAGCCAGCAAAATACAGGTCATTTAAACCATCATCATTTGATTTGAAATTCTTACCTGTTTGCTAGGGCTTATGTTGAAGTCATCAACAAGAGACTGACGCAGGTTGGTCGGTGTCGAACCATCAAGTCGTGAAAAGGAGCAGCCTTTTCGTATAAGGAACTTTTCCAGAATATTCAGCATCCTGCAAAGTATAAGGAAGATCACCGACATGTCGTGGCCATAAGAGCAAGTCAACTATTATATATGAAAAGAAAAGAAAGAAAAAGGGTAAACATATTGGCAGAGCATCAAAGTTTTCAAAAGTCACCTAACAGAGTAACTGAACAAAAGAACTTTGTCACCCTGTGAAATCCAAGAGAACAACAGTTTCTCCAATGCACGCATTTTGCCACAATGTTTAACATCACTAAGGCCCATAAAACTCTCGTTTTGGGTGTACCCTCCTACCAAATCGACATCGGAGCCAAACACAGCCAAGGCAAATTCTGCATCTCTCTTTTGCTTATCTGGATCATCTTTAGGATTAGGCTTGATCAGCTCCAGGTGATTGCTTATCTGCAAAGCATACCCAAAATGTAACATGCTCAAGAACAATGGCAATACAAAATATGATTCCATATGAATATATACATGTGCATGTATTTCATTGTACTAAAACAACAAGAACAAACAAACGTTTGAAATTCATACTTGTTGGAGCTTGACGAGGCAAGGAAGAACAATGCAAAAGGGGCATGAATCGCAACCATCAGGACTATCCCTGTGAAGGTAGGGCCAAATTAATCCATTTGGCACAATCCTTTTGCAACAATCGGATTGAGTAAGGGGACTTCCACAGCTACATGGAAGGTCCTTATTTATGAGGGCCCGGACGTCTGGTAGCTGTAACATTCTACGATATGCCCGTTTCTGCAATTCACTCATGGCACAGAATACAACATTATCTTCCTTTCCCATCATGAGATGCCCAATCGTCTCTTCTTTGGTCCTTCTCAACATATATTTACGAAGAACAACCGCTAGATGTTGTTTTCGCTCATTTGCAACGTGGACAAATCTTTGGGGAGCTGTTGACCTTTGACCATGCTTGAGCGGCTCGTCATAAAACTCCCGGAAGTGTTCCCGAGTTCCCAGAGATCCTGGTGCAATGCAGTCAAAGAGATTGAACAGTTCCATAATTTTATTCTGCATTATGGTTCCTGTGAGGCCAAAACGTTTTAAGGTTTTAATTTCCAGACATGCTACATAGAGTTTCGATCTCTCATTCTTCAGCCGGTGCACTTCGTCAACAATCACAATCTCCCATTCAACTCCTGACAAAATGTTTCCTTGGATTCTGTATGTGTCAAAGCTAGTAATAAGTACTTCAACTAAGTGTGCTTCTAGCCTATCATAAATCAGACCACGGTTTGTGCCATGGTAAATAGAAACGCTGAAACTGGCCCACTTAGAGAATTCACTTTCCCAGTTGTGGATGACTGAGGAAGGGCAAATTATCAGTACAGGGCCTTTCTTTCCTAATTGATTATTCTTCAATGTTGTAGAGTCCACAAAATCTCCATCTTTATCATAAACAGCAGCCAAGAAGGCAATTGTTTGAATGGTTTTGCCCAATCCCCTGTCATATTAAAAAACAAGGAGTGAGCTTTCTTCCCCTACCAAGGACCTCCATATGGACAGATTTCACACACACAACACACACACACAGAATTCACCCTTCAATACATGGCATTGCAAAAAGTAAATGGCTAAGAAATATTATAGGTAAAATTCAAAAGACACTAAGAAAGAAGATGAAAAATAATAGATAAAAGTTCAAGAAAACATTCATACATGTCATCTCCAAGAATACCTCCATGGTTGTTCTTGTATAAACCATACAAAAACTTAACACCCTCCCTCTGATGCTCAAGTAACCTGCAGTTTATGGACGAAGGAACCTGCAACAACAGAAAAGAAACAAGAGAGAGAGAGAGAGAACGACACATTACTCAATGTCTACGGATACACGAGTACCTATGTCTACAATACTCAACAAAAATGTGAAACATACGTAGGGGGAACTTAGTGGTAGGGTATTTTTTACTGGCAGAATATAGATTTACACTGTCAGATCACATCAGAACCACATTAGATTAAAGGAAGTAAGATAACTTAACAGAACTTGATGAAAATGTCACGGATAAAAACTGCATCCTCCGTGGGGATTTTTGTTTCGTTTTTTACCTAGCGTTCTTCACATACTACCTTGTTCATTCACCGAGTTTTCAGTTTTAGATTTCTACAGTAAAAAATTCTCAAAAAATATCACATCTAATTTTGTCTGTTACAGTGAAAAACTCTTAAAAAATGTCACACCTCAGCTTGAATCCGCAAAGTGAACGAGGTAACTTTTCTACGTCTTGTAAGTGACATAAAGTACTAATTAGGATTTTCCATAACGATTAAGCATCCGAACCAAATTCAGCCACCATGTATTCTCACAATTCCACACTACTCTTATCAAAGTGATGCACACACAATTCTTTCCGCTAAATCCAATCACTTCACACCACCAAACGACAGAACAAGACAAAACAAATCAAAATCACCAATTTGCCTCGAAATCCATCTCAACACATCATTCAGGCAAAAAAAAAAAAAAAAAAAAAAAAAAAAAAAAAAAAAAAAAAAAAAAAGAAAAAATAAATGAACTGGGCAAGTATGAAATCACCTGTACGACATGAATTTCTCCCTGCGATGACAAGACCAAGGGTTCGTAGGGTCCCGTCTGATCAAACTGAAATTGACTCACTTTATGAGGCCTCTCGATCACAAACGCAAACTCTTCCGCTTCTCCTTGCTTTTCCTCCTCTCCATTATCGTCTTGTCGGACACCGCCATTACTTTCACGGGGTTTGGGGGGTTCGATTGAGGGCAGAGAGAGCGGATCTTGGAGGCGCAGAAGCTGCTGCGACAGAGAGGATTTCGGGGGCTTTCTTGGGATTTTGGCTGTGGAGTCCGAGTTATGGGAAGTCGAGGTCTCTGTGCGAGCTTTAATGGAGGCAAAAGAAGAAGAAGATGAATTTGTGCATGGCTTCAGAGTTTCTTTCAAGGCTCTAAGCGACATGGGTGGCAACCGTTTTTTTTTTTTTTTTGAAAAATGCTTTTCGAAGTGGTTTTGTACTTTCGTTGTTGTTCTCAGTTGTACTGAAAGTGATTAGCCGCCCAAGGAGTTTTGGGAGGGCCAAGAAAGTTTAGTAGGCCTTTTTCTATTTATAGATTTGACTTTTTTCATTCAAATTGAAGCGTGATATTTTTTTTTTAAATTTTAATTATAAAAATATTAAATATAATATTTTTTAAAAAATTTTAATTATAAAATTTAAAATTTAAAATTTGAATCATAATATTAATAAATTCTTAAAAATTTGATCTGGGTTCCTTTTTTTTAAGAAAAAATAATTTAGATAATTTATACGAATGGTTTCTAACATTTTTAAAAGGTGTCAATTTGGTCTTTAACTTTTTTTTGACGAAACGAATCTCAAACTATTTAAAAGGGTGCAATGTAATCTTTTACGTCAAATGTCGTCTAAAAAGGTAACGATACAGTGCACATGAGATATCACGTGGCCCGTGTTTTAGTTGAAAAGATGAAAATGCCCTTAATTACTGTTATCTTACTTGTTTTCCGCCCCAATCTTCGAGTACTCAGTTTTATTTTTTTTATTCATTCCGTTCATCTTCTTCATTTGGATAGAACGATTTAGGGTTTCAGACCGGTGTTTGGGGATTGCGTTTTCGAGCAAATCACGCATGGGACAGTTCTTATTCCGGACCAGGCTTCAAATAGTGACGGCAACGGTGAAAGGCAAAGTTCAAAATTGGGTTGACGATGGTAGTTCGGCGGAGAAAAGCCACCGATATATCGTAACTTTCTTTGTTTCTGGACCGGAATTTTATTCCTATTTCTTGGTAAAATGAATAACCTAAATGAGACCATTTTTTGGGGATTTTTTCTAGAAAAGTGTTGTTATGGTATATGGTTTAGTTTTGGGAATTTTGTTTAGGAATGTGTTGTTTCCGCAAGTTTTTTAGGGGTTGATTCAGTGGTGGTTGTTAGTACTATATTATTTGGTTTCATTGCACGAGATAGTAGATTCTTAACTTGGTGTTGGTTTGTATTCAGTGAGGAAATATTATAGTAATTGTCCTGAGTAACTGTTTATTTTATGCATTGATAGTTTGATTCAATGTTTATTTTATTCATACACCTAAAAATTTTGCAGCTCCTGATAATGTTGATATGTACACTTTGAAAGTCCACCATGGCGGTGGCATATTTGACAGGATGGCATTATATGTTATGTTAGAGGTGAAGTAATTTTTTTTATTGGGTTGACAATGGGTAGCATACAGAGAATTGGAAGATCTTGCAACTGAGATTGGGTACAAAGGCAATATGGATTATTATTTTAAGGATCCAACTAGGCATCGTTTTTACCCTATAACAAGTAATCACGAGATTGTTCAAATGTTTGATAAACATTATCCTGGTACAGAAATCAATGTTTATTTCAGTGAGACCAGAGCCACTACAAATTTTGGTACTGGTTTTTAACAGCTCCTTCCACAATGGCACATCACTCACAATCTTAAACGCCAAATTTGCCTGAAGTTGAAACATATCTGGGCCAATACATTACAGAATAAACAATCCAGACACAATCCAAATTCCTTGATTACTACAATTTAAGCTTACAAACAAGAATCACCATTACAATAATAAACAAATATTTCCATTTGCACACTCTGCATTCTGTAGGATTAATTAGCTTTTGCATTGCCTTCAATTGATTCTCCAAAAATTTCTCTCTTGCGTGGTCTGCATTTTCTCAAGTTGAGCCTCCAAATCATTTACCCTTCTCAGCAATCCAGGTATGATCATCTTTGATCTTCTACACATAGGCGGGTCTTTCCAGACAAAATATTCACATCCATCGCGCTAGAATACAGATGAGAAGAAATGAATTTCAATTGAAAATCTAAAATTTCATACTTTTAACAATTGAATAAACCAAAATCATAGTTTATCCTATACAAATGGCACCTATAGAATCTGCGTCCAAGGTTCAAGTCCGTCCAGGAAGTCATCACCTTCGTCAACTTCAGAATCTTACAATCACATAATGGGTTTTCTTCCATTGCTCCCTTTGCAGCCTAGCAGCCCCAAATCAAAGATAAAATTTCACAAACCCTAAATTGTACACGATAAAATCAGCCCAAAATCTCCCAGCATGTGATTTTACACATACACCTCAAAAATATGGGCTACGTGATATCTCACGTGCATTGTTCTGTTATTTTTTGGACGACATTTGACGGAAAGACAACGTTGCACCATTTTAAATAGTTTGTGGTTTTTTTCGTCTAATAAAAAAATTAAAGACTAAATTATCACATTTTAAAAAAATTTAAAAACTATTCGTACAAATTACCTAAATAATTTTGATGTCCTGTATTAAAATAAAATTGGACCTATGGTGCTCCGACCTTTTTGAGTACCCGTAGAAGGTAGAACATGTAAAAAGATTGTTTGACCGCGTTTGTATTGGATATGAAGCATCGGCCGCATGATATTAACGTGCAACATACCGCAGTGTAGTGGAAACGAAAGTGGATTATTTATGGAATTCCCGTGGCGCTAGATGGTTTTAATTTTTATCAGACACTACACATTGTAGGGGCCAGTAAATTAATAAACATAGAGTACGCAAATGATGGTGTGAAACAAACATGTGGTCGGCGGTTAGGGAAAAAAATAAAGAGGTTTTATGTTTTGAAATTGAACTTCAAAAATGGGTTTGGATGGATTTTATTTTATTTTTTTGCATGAAACTTCAAAAGCCATTTCAGACCACTTTTTGGAATTATTCTTTCAAACAATCAGACTTTGCACTCTCTTGTAGTGAAATAGGTGTTCGTTCAATAAAAAAAAAAAAAAAAGCAATCTACCACGACTTTCCTTGCAAAGTTTTCTTTTTCATTTGAGAAAATTACCAAATAAAAGAAAAATCCCAATTGTAAATTCAGGTTTATAGTTGTTCTATTGAAACTCTTGGCCAATCAAGTATGCTAACAACGTCTAATCATAAACTAAAAACACCTAAACCACAGCACCAATTTTCAACTCCGGGTTCTCGTTAATTTTATGTGTCACAATACCATTTCAAATTCTAAGAGAAAAAGACTTTCCTATAGAAAACCACATGTACGATTGAAGACTTTCCTATAGAGAAAAAGACTTTCCTTCACTTCACCGCATGCACAGAGGCTCAAAGCAGGAAAAAAAAAAAAAAAGATGGGCATGAAGAATGAGCAAAAGATGGTCAGAAGAAAAAAGAAAGGGAGAAGATAGAGTGATAAATTTTCACCATGGTACATCGTCAAAGCAAAACAAACCCCAAACAATTTGTAAAAAATCGAATAGCAACCAAAGGCAAACCCAATGGAGTAAGAAAAATAAAAATTAAAAGAATAGAGATGTTAGGAAGAAAAAGAGAGAGAGAGATAGAATATGACCGTAGGGCCCACAAGTGAAGTTTTTTATTAAAAGAATAGAGATGTAGATGATAAAACATTTAAGTAGGGCCGGTAATATGGGTCACGACACGACGACACGACTCGAAAACGACACGAATTTTATATGTTAGGGTTGAAAAAAGAGGTTCGGGTCAGATTAGGTCGACCTGAAATTGACACGAAAAATACGGGTCAATTTTGGGTTGGACCCGCCGAACCCGAACACGACACGAAACTCGTAAAAAACTAAAAAATACATATATTTTTCATTACATATTTTAAATTTTATTATGAACTTGTGATATCATGATAGTTATATTCAAAATCTTATACTATTATTTGCTTAATTTCAATGGATGTTATTGTAATTTAGTGTGTTATGAATTTTAAGTTATTTCTAATATGTAAAAAATAAATAAAAGTATACAATTTTCGTGTCAATTTCGGATTCACGGGTCAATTTCGTGTCACGGGTCATTTTCAGGTCGTGTCGTGTCAACTCGTAAAGTGGTCGTGTCGTGTTCGTGTTGCGGTTTTTAAAAACTTTCGTGTCACAGGTCGTATTCGGGTTGAGTGCAAATTTTTAAAAAAATGATCAAAACACGATACGAACACGACACGTGACACGAATTGTCACCCCTACATTTAAGACCTGTATATTTCATCAATTTAAATTTTATTATAATCAAAAAATTTTAAAAATAGTTATATTTAATTTTTTTATTACAGTAAAAAAATTTTACAAAAAATTATATCTTAATTTAAATTAACGAACTAAACAGACTTTAAAAAAATCATACCAAAATTACTTCAACATTTGCACTAGTGCTGAAACTTTAGACGGGCCGCTCGTGACCACCGAAAAGTTCAAATTTTGGCCTGAGTACTGAACCCGAACTGCCCAAAAATTTGGGCTGCCCGACCCGACCCGAATTTCACCATGGACGGGCTTTGGGCATGAGGTGCTTGCCCGTGCCCGGTCGGGCTTCCCGATGCCCGACCGGCTGCCTGAATTTTCAAAATTTTTTATATTATATTTTTATATTGTATAATTTGTATTTGTATAATTATAATGTGTACAATTTAAAATTTAAAATGAATACACGAACTATATAAAAAAATTTATTTCTTCATTGATTTTTAAATTTGTAATTCATGATTGCCTCGTTAAAAACCTTACCAAGAAAAACCCAATTGGGATAAAAACTTGGTAAGGAAAAAAGAGTGCAAT